CCCTAACCCTCAAGGGGCCTACAATCTAAGGTCCCTAACCTCACATTAAGGTCCCTAACCCTACATCTACCCTAACAGGGACAATGTAGACATACGGGAGCCCAATTATTCTACCAGCATGTCTTTGGAGTGGGGGAGGAACCCCACACAGGCACAGGAGAACATGCAAACTCCAGGCAGGTGGTGCCATGGTTGGGATTCAAACCAACGACCGAGTACTGCCGGGCAGAAGTGCTAACCATTTAGCCACTGTGCTGCCCTAACTTCATTCACTAAGGCTCCGTTCACACCTATGCAGTTTGCCTTTTGTCCATTTTGCAGTGCTTTTCGCAGTTCGTTTTGCGTTTTTCTAAACGCATTTTTGATGTTTGAATTGTATTGTAACTGTACTGCCTTCCTATATATTGTAAACTGTTGGCGCCATATAAATCCGGAAATAATAATAATTATTAATAATTAATATAATATATATAATAATATAACAATAATATTATTATTAATAATAATAATAATAATAATATAATAAATTAAAAAATAAAAATTTAATAATAATAATAATAATATATAATATTAATATAATAGAATAATTAATTCATAATAATAATTGTATTGTAACTGTACTGCCTTCCTTTATATTGCAAACTGTTGGTGCCATATAAATCCTGTAATAATAATAATTATTAATAATTAATATAACATATATAATATAACAATATTATTATTAATAATAATATTAAAATTAAAAATGTAAAAATTATTATTATTATTATTTATTAATAATAATAATAACAACAAATAATAATAATATATATAATATTAATATAATAGAATAATTATTAGTTCATAATAATAATTGTATTGTAACTGTACTGCCTTCCTTTATATTACAAACTGTTGGCGCCATATAAATCCTGTAATAATAATAATAATACCTTGCTTGATAAATGTTCCTCAGTGAATCGCATATACTAGTAATGGTGGCGATCAGCGACCTACAGCGGGACTTCGACGGGCATTCTGACACTGGCTACTTTCACACTAATAAGCCGCAAAAAACACAGCAAAAATGCATTTTTACCGCGCTTTTGGGGAGTGCGTGCGTACAGCCCGCCATACGGGTGAATGGTTGCACGCAACGGCACTCTTGTAAACTCCGATTAATCGCACGCGGGTGTCTGATGTATTTTCTGAACACGAAAAATTCACTTCTTTATCAATACGCCCCCAAGGAGAATGGCGCTCCCAGCCTAACTCCACGCTACGCGTATGCTGTAAAAGGTTGCGGGACGGAATCTGATCCAAGGAGCAGCCGGCGGACTCCGATAATAGGCGCAGAACTTGGACACCGAGAGATGAATTGTCAGCAATGCTCATGATAATAGAATCATTTATAACCCAGCGCGGGGCGCAGCGAGCGGAACGGCGTGCCGAATATTACAAGGAGCTTAGATGTAGAACAGATAATACACTGTACACGATTATTAAAAGATAGGCAGCCTGGATTCCTGTAAATGTGGTAGAACTACAACTCCCAGCAAGTCTTCCCACAAAGAATAGGCAACCTGGATCCCTCTGGCCATGGAGGTACTACAAGTCCCAACAAGTCTTCTCACAAAGACTAGGCAGCCTGGATCCCTCTAAATGTGGTAGAACTACAAGTGCCAGCAAGTCTTCACACAAAGACTAAGCAGCCTGGATCCCTCTAAATGTGGTAGAACTACAACTCCCAGCAAGTCTTCCCACAAAGAATAGGCAACCTGGATCCCTCTGGCCCATGGAGGTACTACAAGTCCCAACAAGTCTTCTCACAAAGACTAGGCAGCCTGGATCCCTCTAAATGTGGTAGAACTACAAGTGCCAGCAAGTCTTCACACAAAGACTAAGCAGCCTGGATCCCTCTAAATGTGGTAGAACTACAACTCCCAGCAGGTCTTCCCACAAAGAATAGGCAACCTGGATCTCTCTGGCCATGGAGGTACTACAAGTCCCAACAAGTCTTCACACAAAGACTAGGCAGCCTGGATCCCTCTAAATGTGGTAGAACTACAACTCTCAGCAGGTCTTCCCACAAAGAATAGGCAGCCTAGATACCTCCAGCTGTGGAGGAACTACAAGTCCCAGCAAATCTTCACACAAAGAAAAGGGAGCCTGGATCCCGCCAGTTGTAGAAGAACTACAAATCCCAGCAATTCTACCCACAAAGACTAGGCAGCCTGGATCCCTTTAAATGTGGTAGAACTACAAGTGCCAGCAAGTCTTCACACAAAGAATAAGCAGCCTGGACCCCTCTAAATGTGGTAGAACTACAAGTGCCAGCAGGTCTTCCCACAAAGAATAGGCAACCTGATCCCTCTGGCCATGGAGGTACTACAAGTCCCAGCAAATCTTCACACAAACAAAAGGGAGCCTGGATCCCGCCAGTTGTAGAAGAACTACAAATCCCAGCAATTCTACCCACAAAGACTAGGCAGCCTGTATCCCTCCGGCTGCTGAAGAGCTAAAAGTCCCAGCAAGTCTTCACACAACGAAAAGGGAGCCTGGATCCCTCCAGCTGTGGAAGAACTACAATTCCCAGCAAGATGATATTGTAATGTGTGTAGGCACCAAAGACCCAGCAATGTAACCCCCAACCAGCAGATACCCCCTGAATGCATCATAAGAGGAATAGCTCATCCACCCTGTGCTACCAGATTGTACAGATCGGTCAGAAGATTGTATAATCGACAGCTGGCAAACCCAATCTCTCCCTAGTTGCTGGTGAGACTCTGGTGAGATCTTCTGCTAATGCTTCTTCGCTGTTCCCTGGAGTCTCACTCCTTCTGCTGCATTCTCTAGAGCAACCAGTTATCAAGCAGGATCCATAGAACCCTAGGGTTCCTCCAGAGGTTGCTAGGGGTTCCTTCAGCAATGAGCAATATCTGCCTCTCACGTAAATTCCCACTGACACCATTCATCGCTTTAGCTATTTGTAAGAAGGTAATTCTTCCCACTGACAATGTAAGGAGCATTTTTCCCACTGACCACAATGTGAGGGACATTCTTCCCCCTGACCAGCAATGTAAGAGGACATTCTTCCCCCTGACCAGCCCAATGTAAGGGCATTCTTCCCCTGACCAGCCAATGTAAGGGACATTCTTCCCCCTGACCCCCAATGTAAGGAGCATTCTTCCCACTGACCCCCAATGTAAGGGACATTCTTCCCACTGACCACCAATGTAAGGGACATTCTTCCCACTGACCACCAATGTAAGGGACATTCTTCCCACTGATCACCAATGTAAGGGGCATTCTTCCCACTGACCACCAATGTAAGGGACATTCTTCCCACTGATCCCCAATGTAAGGGAACATTCTTCCCACTGACCCCAAATGTAAGGAACATTCTTCCCACTGACCCCCAATGTAAGGGACATTCTTCCCACTGACCCCCAATGTAAGGGACATTCTTCCCACTGATCACCCAATGTAAGGGACATTCTTCCCACTGACCCCCAATGTAAGGAACATTCTTCCCACTGATCACCAAATGTAAGGGACATTCTTCCCACTGACCACCAATGTAAGGGACATTCTTCCCACTGACCCCCAATGTAAGGGACATTCTTCCCACTGACCCCCAATGTAAGGGACATTCTTCCCACTGACCTCCAATGTAAGGGGCATTCTTCCCACTGATCACCAATGTAAGGGACATTCTTCCCACTGACCCCCAATGTAAGGGACATTCTTCCCACTGACCCCCAATGTAAGGGACATTCTTCCCACTGACACTCAATGTAAGGGGGACATTCTTCCCACTGATCACCAATGTAAGGGGCATTCTTCCCACTGACCCCCAATGTAAGGGACATTCTTCCCACTGACCCCAATGTAAGGGACATTCTTCCCACTGACCACCCAATGTAAGGGACATTCTTCCCACTGATCACCAATGTAAGGGGCATTCTTCCCACTGGCCCCCAATGTAAGGGACATTCTTCCCACTGACCACCAATGTAAGGGGCATTCTTCCCACTGACCTCCAATGTAAGGGACATTCTTCCCACTGACCACCAATGTAAGGGGAATTCTTCCCACTGACCTCCAATGTAAGGGACATTCTTCCCACTGACCCCCAATGTAAGGGACATTCTTCCCACTGACCCCCAATGTAAGGGACATTCTTCCCACTGACCTCCAATGTAAGGGACATTCTTCCCACTGACCACCAATGTAAGGGACATTCTTCCCACTGATCACCAATGTAAGGGACATTCTTTCCACTGACCTCCAATGTAAGGAGCATTCTTCCCACTGACACCAATGTAAGGGACATTCTTCCCACTGATCCCCAATGTAAGGGACATTCTTCCCACTGACCACCAATGTAAGGAGCATTCTTCCCACTGACCACCAATGTAAGGAACATTCTTCCCACTGACCACCAATGTAAGGAACAATCTTCCCACTGACCACCAATGTAAGGAGCATTCTTCCCACTGACCATCATACTGATGTATCATGAATTGTAGATATAACCATTTGTAGCCGGGTTCCCTGAGACTGGAAAGCCATTTCAATGGTTCCTCTGTGTTGAAGGTTGTGAACTGCTGCTCTATAAACTAGCGATGGTTGGGTTGGATAGGCTATCTACCATTTTTTCCCATTACTTTTCTCCATAAAAATAGAGACAAGTACATGGCACTGTTCCAGCAGCCCAATGGAGGTAAAGTTCTGCCAAGTTCAGCAGTTCGTAAGAGCGCTCATTGGTTGCCCATCACTCTTGGTGAGAGATCTGCCCATGAATGCTGTGGACTGTGCAATCAAATTCTAATGATGGTGGAACCAGGGCCAGGCTGAAGAGTTGAGAGAAAGGCAGCTGCCTTGGGACCTTTTTATCAGAGGGGATCAAAAAGCCTGCAACCGAATCTAAGGTGCTACACCTTTCATTGAGGTGGGGAACACTTTAGCCTTTTTGCCTTGGGTACCAAAGGACCATATCCCAACCCTGGGTTCAGTAGTCACCCCTTACCTTCTTTGGGTGCTTCAGGGTCCCAGACCGACCACATCTGGACGTAGAAGAAAGGGGTCCAGCATATAATATAAGCCAGCACTATGATGAATGTCATTTTTACTGTGCGAATTTTGGCTTTGGAGATAAGCCGGACACTGCTGACCCGGGACAGGGTGGCCCTTTTGCTGCTGCTCAGCCTCAGGTTGCTCTCACAAACTGTCTTCAGGCGAATGTTCTGCCAAATCTTAAAGCTGATGAGCCCATAGCAGACGCTGAGGATCAGGACCGGGATGATGTAGACGGACAAAGTGATCCAGGTGATATAAGCCTTGAGACCCCAAGGTTTGATGAAGTCAGCCAAGCAGTCATAAACCCCATTGCCCACCGACGTGAGGGAGAAGATGACAATCTGGGGAATGCTCAGGAGGAAGCTGATGATCCAGGTGAGCAGGACATAGACACAATCAGACCGTCTATGTAGGGACCTCAGGGGCTGGCAGATGGCCAGACACCTGTCCAGGGACATCAGCAGGAGCATGTAGGTGGAAGCAAACATTCCCACCACCTGCAGATACTTGACCAACCTGCACATGATGTCCGGGGCATAGAACCTGAAGGTGATGTCCCAGATGAGTTGGGGGAGAACCTGGAAGAGGGCCACCACCAGATCCGCAATGCTCAGGTGCTTCATGAAGAAGTACATGCGAGAATGCTTGTGCCTGTTGATGTGAACTGCTATCAGGACGCAAATATTCCCCACCAGGGCCAAGATCAGGATGATGGCCAGTACCGCCACCTCCACCTTGGCCACTTCCTCGTTCCTCTTCAGAGGGTCCCTGGTGATGTTCACACTCTGGTTCCTGTTCTCCAGGCTGGAGTTCCCCCATGAGTTATTCATACATTCATTGCCAAAGCCCTCCATGATCCCGCAATCAAGGTCCTCAATAAAAAGCTATACCATCTCGCTATGAGTGCCTATGGAGCCTCAGGTAGAAGATGCCAGTAGGCGGCTGGCTGAGGAACCAAAGCTGTTGTGAGTTTCTGGCAGCTCCTCCGCCTTCCAAGGAACTTGTAGACCCCCCTCCCCTCTTCCTAAAATATCCAAAAGTATCTTTCTTCCTGGTGATAATAATCCAAAATTGCATGCATGCGCTAGGTCAAGGTTCCCAGTCCAGGGGCAGATCTTCCAATAATCCACATCTAGGACCAGCTGTGCAGCCCAGCTCGTATCTCCTGTGCAAGGAGGTGCAATGAGAAAACTCCAAGTTTCAGAGTGCCTGTAATCTGAGAGGGGAGGGAATTGTGCCTGGAGTCCCCAGCCTCAGTTAGATTAGACATTCCTCATCCCTGTGGCAGAATAGTGCAGCCCCCCCCCCATTCATACCCAGGAGGGAGCAGAGGGCAGCACCCAGAGCCTGCTATGGAAGGTGCACTCCGGCTGGCAGACCGGCAGAGAGTGAGGAGGAGACAGTCCCAGAAGCCACACCACTCTCTGACAACTCACATAAGGATTAATGAATAAAACTGCCAGGAGGGATGTGGGGGGGTGAGTAGCCAGCATGCAGTTCCTCATGCCGGTCACAAGATGTCGCCCCAGGATATGCTTGTGTCTATGCAGCTGGATGGACAGTTGAGTGGTGCTGATGCAGAAAAGTCTTATCACAGCTGATACACTCCTGCTGGAGGGGGGCGCAGGAGGAGATCACCCACCATCACCGCCAAATCCAGAGCCCACGCTTCTCATCCTCAGGATACAAATCCCTCCGTGCTGTTTTCCTTCTTTGTTACAGTTGATGTTAAAGCGTAACTAAACCCAAAATAAAAAATGTCAAATATTGCAGCTTACCAGTCATTAGATGTGCTGGCTGCATCAGTTTTCTTCTTTTTTTTTTCTCCAGGTGTTTGTTTCTCTATTTTCACCTGGTGACAGGCCATTAACACACCTCCTGCATTAGGGGGGCGACATCAACTCCTCCACTGCATCTATGGAGGAGCAACTTGGACCGCAGCTCTGTCAGTCAGTGGAGGGGGCGGTGCTGGATGGACCAGTAGATTTAGGTGGACTTTATATTAGTAAATAACCACGTAAAGCTGAAGTCCGGATAACACTTTTTCAGCAGTAACAGCAAGTTTATTTTTTTTTCCTTTTGGGATAAAGTTTTTACATAAATAAATAAAATTCGATCATTGTGAGCACCCCTGTATAATTGGACTGCATAGTGTGAGGCTTACACTTAGTTATTTTTGGATATATTTTTCTTATATATTTATTCTTATCAGGACATTTTAACCAGGAAATATTATTTTTATAATTATTCGTATTACCATTATTCATAATATTTTTATTTGTAATATTATTTGTATTATTATTATTCATATTATTTGCATTATTATTATTAATTAAAATACTATTATTTGTTTTATCACTATTCGTATTATTATTATCATTTGTATTGTTACTATTTGCATTATCATTAATATTTGTATTGTCATTCTTCATCTTATAAGTTTTATCATTATTCATATTATACGTATTATAATTATTGTTTGTAATATCAATATTCATATCATTAGTATAATCATTTGTATTATCATTAATATTTGTATTATTTATTTATTTATTACAGGTACTTATATAACACTGTCAATTTACGCAGCACTTTACATATAGATATATATATAAATAAATATATATATATATTTATATATATTGTACATTCACATTTACATGTATTATTATTATTTCTATTATTATTCTTTGTATTAACGTTATTCAAAATATTGGTATTATTTTTACTTTTATAAGAAAGGAAGGAAGGAAGGAAGGAAGGAAGAAAGGAAGGAAGGAAGGAAGGAAGGAAGGAAGGAAGGGGGGAGAGAAGGCACAAGACTACCAGGGAGGGTGGGCGGGGCAGAACCAGCTTTCTCTCTCCTCTCCGATCTGTGGTGGTGGGGGAACTGTAAGCACTGGGGGCAGTCTATCCAGACAGATCCCCTGCAGCAGCTGCAGGGAGGGGGGGAACCCCGGCAGCAGTGCTGGAGGGAATGAGGGGGGGTGACCACCGGGGGAGCATACAGGAGCCCAGGGCAGCAGAAGATGTGCCACCCAGCCACCCCTCCTATCCAGCTGGCCCTGGCCCACTGGCAATTGCCTGGTGTGCTCTATGGCCAGTTCGGGCCTGTATAGAACCAAGAGTTTGCGCAGTGCTTTACAACACGAGGGCAGACAGTACAGTTACAACACAATGCAATACAGGAGGAATCAGAGAGCCCTGTTCCTTAGAGCTTACAATCTAAAAGGGAGGGTCTAGTGATACAAAGGGTACTACCTCTGGGGATGAGCTGATGGAGAAAAAAAAAAGTGGGGGTAGGGTAGGCTTCTCTAAAGGGAAGGGTTTTCAGGGATCACCTGAATGTGGTCAAAGTAAAAGATAGTCAGTCAGATTAGGGGTTTAGGAGTTCCAGAGGATGGGTGAGGCTTTGGAGAAGTCCCAGAGGCAAGCATGGGAGGAGGTGACAAAGGAGATAGAGAGAAGGAGGTCTTAGGAGGAATGAAGAAAGCGATTGCATGCCCAGATGTGCCAACGGTCCCTTCTAGATGTTGAAGGCACCGACCCTCGGCTTATACCCATGCTTTGTCTTCTGCAGATCTCTGCTAAAGAGGCAATGTATGACCACGGGAGGGCCGGTCAATCTGGCAATTGGTGGAGGGTTGCGTGACAGCACGGCGTCTCTTCCTCCGGTGAAGTTGTTGAACAGAAGCCAAAGATTCATTTATACAAGATGCTCCTCCAACTGTGCATGGCGTGTTAGGAGCGGGGCACGGGAGGAGATGTTTCCCATATGGACGGGGGTGGGGGGGGGGGGGTGATGGGTCACCACATTCCAGAGTGCAGGATTCCACACACCTGCAGGCTCACCTTATATTGGCTAGAATTCAGATGTAAGATGTATGGAGAGCCAAGTTATGCAACATCTGTACATTCTCAGATAAGATCTGGATGTGGTGGAAGGAAGCCGAGGATAAATAAGCCTCTAAATAAAGCCCGTCCAGGCGATTCCTCTCGGGGTTTGTATCTGCTCAGCCCTTTGCTGCACATTTCACGGATAGATCACTCCACCTCAAACCTCGAAAGCCTTCTAATCCAGAGGTCCTTCCAGAGATCAGGACCTCATAACTTTGTACCAAATATTACAACAGCAAAAAGAGTTTATACTCTCACAATAAAAGTATGGGAAAAAAATATGTGTTGAAGTGCTTGAAGACTCTAGATGGGGCTGGGTGTCACTGTAGAGGGTTCTTGAGGGGGTTGGGGATGGAGGGTTGCAGACTTGGTGGCCCCTGTAGAGGATGAGGTTTCTGCAGGATTCTGGGAGCATCTGTGCAGGGGTTTCTCCAGGAGGCTGGATGCTTTCCAGGGGCTCTGTGGGGCAGTTTTAGAGTTCTTGGGGTACTATGGGGGGGGGGGGGGCTGGAAGCTCTGCAGAAGGCTAGGAAGCACTTCGGGATTTTGGGTGGCATTGTGGGAACTTAGGGCTCTTAGCAGCCTGAGGGCAATGTGGGAGGTTGAGGGGATCTGTGGGGCACTATGGGAAGATGGGTGACACTATGGGTGCTGGAAGGCACTGTGGGAGGTTAGAGGTCTAACTCGAACTGGAGGTCTGGGCAGTGGGCCCCAGCAGCAGTGGTGGTTGTTGAAACCACAAATCTAGATGGCGCTCCTGTCTACATGTACTCCAGGGATGGCTGCATGGCATTTCTCAGGGCGGGTTTCCTGATGGTGACAACAGTCCACCAAGCTTGTGTGATGTGTGCTAAAATAGCCGCTTGTAGTCTTCATCTGCAGGATTCTGGGGACATCTGTGCAGGATCGAGGCTGAGGGGTTTCTCCAGGAGGCTGGGGGCTTTCCAGTGGCACTGTAGATGAGTTCATTATTGGGCAGTGCTGGAGACTGAGGGTACTATGGGGGGCTGGAAGCTCTGCAGAAGGCTAGGAAGCACTTCGGGATTTTGGGTGGCATTGTGGGAACTTAGGGCTCTTAGGAGCCTGAAAGCAATGTGGGATGTTCAGGGGCTCTGTGGAGCACTATGGGAAGATGGGTGACACTGTGGGTGCTGGAAGGCACTGTGGGAGGTTAGAGGTCTAACTCTAACTGGAGGTCTGGGAGGAGGGAGGCCACGGCCCAGCAGTGGGCCCCAGCCCAGTGGTTGAGAACCACAAATCTAGATGGCGCTCCTGTCTACATGTATTCCAGGGATGGTTGCATGGCATTTCTCAGGGCGGGTTTCCTGATGGTGACAACAGTAGACCAAGCTTGTGGGATGTGTGCTGAAATAGCACACAATTGTGACAATTGTGACAAGGTGACAACACAGGAGCCTATCAGGGAGACAGGGACAGTGTTGTTACCCTATATCAAGAAGTGCCTGAACAAGGTCTTTTCTAGCAGGATGACCAGGGATTGAAAGATGACGCCTGAAAATTACTAACAGTACCTCCTAAGAGTCTCAGTAGCCACCAACCTCCCACAGTGCCTCCCAGGTTCCTGCAGTGCCCCCTACCTTGCTGCAGAGCCTCCAGCCGCCCATAGTACCCTAACAGTGTCCCACAGTGCCCCCCAATTCCTTTATTGCCCTCCAGTCACCCAAGTTGCCCCTACAATTCTCCCAGCCTCCTGGAGTGACCTCCAGCCCCCTCCACATACCCCACCCCCCCAGCTTTTCCAGCATGGAGCACAATGGAGAGCTTAGCATTTTAAGAGCCCCATGGATTGAACGTTTTATGGTAGACAAGTCCTGAGAACGTCTTTTTGCTTCTGTATTTCGTTCTCTCCACTGATAACTTACAATCTGACAAAATCCAATTTGCTGATGAGGCTTCCTGTCTGCGCCGAGGT